TTCCGACCCACCGCGACCCTGTACAGGGTTTCCGAGGAGTAGCTGGTGAGCTTGAACTGCTGACTTTGCAGTTGAAACGGCTTTGCAGTCTGACGCATTAACCCACAGGGCCACACCAGGACTCCCCCTAATGTGATGGGGTGAGTTAATTAACAGTTTGACCAAATATAATGTGATGCCGTGGAGTCCTGCAAAGTCAGCAGTTCAAGCTCACCAGCTACTCCTCGGAAACCCTGTACAGGGTTGCCATGGGTCAGAACCGACTCTATGACACTTAACAACAACAACAATGTGATGGCTGGAGTCTTGGTGTAGCTCTATAGGTTAATGCACTGGACTACAAGGACGGTTTGAACCACGAGATCAGCAGTTCAAGCTCACCAGTTGCTCCTTGGAAAACCTATGAGTCAGAACTGGCTCAATGGCATTTAACAACAACAACAATGTGATGACTGGAAGTGCAGTTGCCTTGGCAGGGCCAGACCAAATGCTTTAGTGGGCTTTATATGGCCCATGGGCCAGGCTATTTCCTACCCCTGCTATTTCCAAAGAGCAACTGGTGGATTTGAACTGCTGACCTTGCAGTTAGTAGCCCAACTCGAAATTCACTATAGTACCCTCACTCTGCCACCCAGGTGACAAGCATGTACCTATCACGGCTAACTGGGCTTTTTTTTTTTTTTTTTTTAAAGTTCTACCAAGGAATCCTGGAGTCCTAGTGTCGTGCTGTGGGTTAATGCGCTGGACTGCAAAGTCAGTTTGAACTTCAAGGTCAGCAGTTCAAGCTTCTCAGAAACCCTGTGCAGGGTCACCATGGGTCAGAACCAACTGGACAGCACTTAACACAACAACAAGTATGGAGTCCTGGTATGGCTCTGTAGGATAAGCACTGGACTGCTAATAGTAAGGTCCTCGGTTCAAACCCACTAGCTGCCTCTTGGAAACCCTGTATTGGGTTGCTATGAGTCAGAACGGACTTGACAGTACTTAACAACAACATTAAAAAAATACTAAAGTCATATGAGTTTAAAATTGGAAGGGGGGACTTTTGGATTCATCAAATCCGATTCTCTTTTTATAGGTGAGTTACTAGAGAATCAGAGAGATGAGGTAACTTGACCAAAGTCACCCATCCAACTAATTCATAGGACAGAAAGCAGATAGGTTCTTGTCTGGGAACAGAGGGGTGGCCGGGGCAGGGCAGGACTCAGGAAGGAGCACAAGCGTGCTTTTGGGGATGATGAATAAATTCATTATCGTGATTGTGGAGTGTACATACACATCTGTATAAAATCTTACCACAATGTGTGCTGCCTATTGTATGTCAGTTACACATCTGATAAAACTCTTAAAACAACAAAAAAGGTGTCCATCTGGTTAGAGACAGAGCAGGGTCAGAAAATACATCTTGTTCCATGTCATCTTCACACTTCCCCTCAACCCCAACATTGCCCCAAACAGTCTGTTTCAAGTCCTAAAAACACTTCTTCCTATAGCCCTAGGTTTCCATATTTGTGCAATGAAAAATAAGAAATGCTTCAACAATTCAAAGCAGCAGGTAGCATTCTGTAGTTTCAGTCTGAAGTGGTCTGCAGCTAGACGGAAGTGTAACCCAGGAGCCAAGGGCCGGGGAACGGAGAAAGGCGTGCTCTTGCTCTGTTTTCCTCTGTTTATCTACAGCAACTCTTGTGAGCAGTGTCTTCTCCGGATACATCCAATGCATTTAATTTAGGATAGAGAAGATGCAAAGACTGGCTTGCTTTTTTTTTTTTTTTAACCATAGGACTGTATTTTGAGGTGCTAGCTGGTGACCCTCATTGAGTCAAAATCATTTCTGAGCAATCCTTGAATAAGGAAGAGAGAGAAAAACCTTCCAGAAAGTTCCAGTTCCTCATTTTCTTTCTTTCCCTGGTCACACACTCAGGACCCCCAGGTGTGGTTGGCCTCTGGAGCTGTAAAATCTATCTTTTGTGGAAGGAACAGAGTGGGGTGTTCCAGGTTCAGTTCTCTTTAATGCTGAACTGGAGCTGACCCAAGAGCAGAGAGGCTATGCCCAGCTGGCCTGCTATGCTGTGTCGAAAATAAGGCCTCCCAGGTTTTCTGCCGAGGATCCCTGGTAGTGGGGTCCTATTGGGTTGCTAACCAGAACATCAGCAGTTTGAATCCACCAGCCACTCCTTGGGACAAAGATGAAGCTTTCTGTTCCTGTAACTATTTATAGCCTTGGAAACCTTATACAGGGTTGCTATGAATCAGAACTGACTCCACGTGACACCACCACCACCACCATTTCTTTTTCTGATGTGGCGTTTGTAGGATAAGCACTGGACTGCTAACCACAGTTCGGTGGTTCAAATCCACCAAATACTCCTTAGAAACCTTGTGGAGGGTTGCAGTAAGTCAGAACCCACTTGATGGCACTTAAGAACAATGTTGCCTTTCCTAAGGAGGCCTGGTACTCAGTGGATTGTGAGCTGAGTTTGAATTTACCAGTTGCTTCATAGGTGTGGTGCTGTAGGAATAGCACTGGACTGTGAATGACAAGGTCGGCAGTTCGAACCCACCAGCTGCTCCTTGGAAATCCTATATAGGGTCTATTGGAACTGTCTCAATGACACTTAACAAATATAACAACTGCTGGAGAAAGATGAGGCTTTCTGCTCCTGGAAAGATTTGGTGGAGGTGGTTATGTACTGTGGAGTTGGTTCCGACCCATAGCGACCCTGTATAGGGTTTCCAAGGCTGTAAATCTTTACGGGAGCAGAAAGCCTCATCTTTCTCCCGTGGAACAGCTGGTAGTTTCGAACTGCTGACCCTGAGGTTAGCAACCCAATTTGCAACCACTACGCCCAGCCTCGGAAATCCTATAGTGTTGCTATGAATCCGAGTTGACTCCATGGCACACTACCACCACCAGATGTATTCTTCTGTTTCTGGTTTCTTTTGCTAACATAGTATTTTTGAGATTCATCCATGTTATGTGTGATCCCTTAGTTTGTCACTTTTTATTGCTAATTGTATCCCATTGTTTGAATGAACCACAATTGATTTATCCGTTCACCTGACGACGAACATTTGGGTTGTTTACCAGTATTTAGAAACAAGTTGATCCTTTATGTCATACCTTTAAATAAAAATGTTGATGTTTAAAAACTCTCAATTAATTTTTTTGTATTTGGAACATAGTCAATGCTCAAACATCCTGGATAATCTAGCTGTTCTTGTTGAGTGCCGTTGAGTCAGTTTTGACCCATAGTGACCCTGTATAGGGTTTCCAAGGAGCAACTGGTGAGCTTGAACCACCAACCTTGTGTCTCAGAAACCATATATACATAAGTAAAATAGTGTAAAATGTTAAGGAACAATGGGAGAGCCACAAACTCACATAGGGTCATATACAAGTCATGGTGGTTATGTGCTCTGGAGTTAGTTCTGACTCATAATGACCCTGCATAGGGTTTCTGAGGCTGTAAATCTTTATGGGAGCATAAAGCCTCATCTTTCTCCTGTGGAACGGCTGGTAGTTTTGAACTGCCGACCTTGAGGTTAGCAGCCTGATTCATAACCATTATGCTACCAGAGTTCCTCCATATACAAGGAGTCTATCATTAAATAGTTATCTCGTGAACTCAAACCCTGGCTTTTGCAGTCACACTGCTGGGCTTCTGATCCCCGGACCCACCATCTAAGTGGATACCTTTTATGTACAATCAGTTACGGATTTCTTACTTTCTGCTGGGAAACTTTAAGAATAGAGGGTTCTCCCCTTCACAGCAAAGCCCATCCACCCCACGTTTAAGAAAATAACCTCACAGTAGTTTCAGACATTCTACTTCTACCTCTAGAAGCCAGCCCGGAACATTTGGGTTGAACTTCAGGGAAGTGAGATCAGTCATCCTTTACCCATAAGGCTTTGCTCCTCTTGGGTCTTGGCTGAAGTTTTTCCTAGAGGCCCTCACTTGGGATCCTCTTCTCAAAGTATGGCTTAGTCCAGCTCTCTGGGGACCAGACTAAAGCCTTCTTCACTTCCTTTCTTCTTTTTAAGCAAACCAAAAGCCAAAACCAAACCCACTGCCATCCAGAGGATTCTGACTCATAGTTCTCACCTTTCTCCCCTGGGGCAGCTGGTAGGTTTGAATCATCGACCAAGAAGCCAAACACCTAACCCACAGGGTCAGAGCAAACGCTCACGAATTTCTTTTGCTATTCGGTCACTACAGAGCCATCTATGAATTTTCTTTCTTTCTTTCTTTTTTCCAAGCATTTATTGAGAGCCGAGCACTGTGTTACACATTTCTTCCTTAAAGGATGATAGCAACCCTGGGCCTTTTATTTTGACTTTTCAGCTAAGGAAATTGAGATCCAACGTCGCCCAGCTGTCTAGTAGCAGAGCCGTTATGTTTCCTATTGTGCTTTAATAGCGAGGCCACCTTGTCTTATTTCTATACATAAATCTGCCTTGGGTTAAAAGGTACTGTCCCGGTTATAGATGCTGCACTCAAAGCGCCCGGAAACTCTGGTCTCACCTGAGCTCCTGAGCCCTGAGCAGAGTCGGACGCCGCCTCCTGGTGGTAGGTGGACGCAAGAGCAGGGCATGCTAATGAGTTCGTGGAGCCGCTCGCTGATTGGCTGCCGCGGATTCCAGCTGCCTCCCAAGGGGGCTGGTGCCGAGATAGAGTCAAGGGGCGCCGTGGGTTGCAGCGCCCCCCGCCCGCCAGCTCCCCGCGACGCTCAGAGCTCGTGGGAAATCAGCTGGCTGATGCATTGGGGGTCTTCCCATTTGCCTCCCATTTGTTGTCTGGGTCTGAATCCACCCAGGGTCCAGGATGACAATCCGACACCAAGGCCAGCAGTACAGGCCGAGGATGGCCTTTCTCCAAAAGGTAACCCGACCCTCACCTGGGCTCGGGCTAGGGGACGGGGTCATGTGTGGGTGTGTGGGAAATGTTCGAGGAAGTGTCAAGAGGCACGGGAGTACACGGGCAGGAGTCGGGGCACCCATTGGCGGGGGATTAGTACCATTTGATTTTGTTAAATGACTTATTTGTTGTGTGCTTGTCTTGGAAAGCAAGAACCATTAGATTTCTGTGTAACCTGTTTATGGTGGAGAATGTGAAATCAGAGGCGATGCTGGGGTAATGTACCGCCGCGTGAGAACAACCTGTTACTCTGTCCAGCCGAGACGGTTTCAGCTCTGAGGCAGTCTCTAGATACTGTTATAGGCCCTCTAGAGAGATGTTAAATGAATGAGCACCTACCTTATTTTTGGTCTTTTTTTCTGATCCCAAACTGCAGTGTTTTACAGAGAGTGTGTGTATGTGTACACAGGGACCCGGAAAATCATGCAGTTTCTAAGGTAGGGGCCACTCCTTGTCCCAAGTCCTGAGGTTCCTTCTTGGAATGTGTGTGCTTGTCTATCCTGATGCTGTTATGTTGGCAGTGAAAGTGGGGACCATCCCCTTCTGTTGCAAACGTCTGCCCAGACCCAGGGGCCAGGCACAGGCTGTCCATCCTGCGTGGATATGTGGGTAGTTGGAATGTACCTTGTAGGGGATGCATTCAGGAACAAAGTCACTCATTTTGTTCAGGGTATTTGAGAAAACCATGGTCCCAAGAGATCCACAGAGACTTAAGTCTTAGGTCACTTGACTGCCCTTCCTCCTACTCATAGCCACTTTTCACATCATTAGTTTCCCACTTCTTAGGCTTATGTTGTTGAATAGAATTAGCTGAATGCTTTGTGACAAGCTGGTCCTATTCCAAACCCCTGGGACTCAGTAAATTAGACCAGTTGGTGACCAGCTATCCTGATTTTCCCAAAACAGAACTTCAGGGCTAAAATTGGGACCGTTCTGGACACACCTGAATTGCTGGTCATCTTGGGTCCACCTACTTCAAGAAGCTTGTATATCTGGGGCAGTAGAGGTTCAAGGGCTGTACATAAAACAGAGGTAGACTGCTGTCTCACTCAGAGAGAACCCCCAGAGTTTGTATTGCAAGCACCAGCTCCTAAGAGCTGAAACTATGGAAGCCGCTATATCTGAAAACGGAACTTGTCTTCAGGATCTGTCCCAAGGTTGCCATCTTCTTCAGGTGGGACAGCTGTAGCTTAGAAGTTCAAAGAGTCTGGAGACATTCTCTTTGTTTTTGGAATCTCAGGCATTCTTTTTCATCAGTAGTGTTGCCTAATAGATTTTCCTGTCTCTCCTTCTACCATTTGGCTGGTGTCTTGGTCTCCAGCCCCCCTTCTTCTATTCAGTCTCCTTCTCCATCCCTGTTCCTCTTGACCCCAGTTTTTCCTGTCTCTCCTTCTACCATTTGGCTGGTGTCTTGGTCTCCAGCCCCCCTTCTTCTATTCAGTCTCCTTCTCCATCCCTGTTCCTCTTCACCCCAGTTTCCTCTCCCCCACCCCAGTCTCTTCTAGCTCACTCCAGCCTCCTCTCCCCCACCCCAGCCTCCTCTCCCCACCCCAGCCTCTCCTTCCCCCCCCACCCTCCCCTCCCCACCCCAGCCTCCTCTCGCCCATCCTAGCCTCCTCTCCCCAATCCCAGCCTCCTTTCCCCTCCAATCTTCCTGGCTCTACTGTGTCCATCACTCGCCTCCATCCAGCCTCATCCTTACTCCACCCATCCAGCTGAACAAGGTGTCCAGCCCTCTGGATGAGGGCTTGGACCAAAGCAGCTGTCTGTCACATGGAAACATGAAGATGTCTGGGGCCTGTGGTGCCCATGGATGGCCCTGTAGCTCTCATTGTTGCCATAAGACGTCAGTGCTTACCTGTTTTACAGAGAAGCACACTGAACCTCAGATAGGTTACTCAATTTGCCCCAGTCACTCAGCCACTGTGAAACAAATACAGAACTGGACATCATGGGTTGTCTAGTGTGGGAGAGCATGGAGACTGGGGAGGTATGACTGAGTGTGCCCGGGGAAGGGCACCTGAGAATTGCAGGATGGGCAGAGAGGAGGAAGAGGCTCTTGGCAGAGAGAAGGCATGTGCCAAGGCCCAGAGGTCTGGAAATCAGGTGGATTTGAGGACCTGTGGTTCTGTATGGGTGGAGTTGAAGTACCAGGGATGGGAGGTGGGGAAGGTAGGGGGTGCTCGGTGGATTCATAACTGGTCTTTGGAACTTTGTGAATATGATTTGATTTTATCCCCACTGAAGCCATTGAGGAATTTGGAATAGGCAAGTGATGTGGGCAGATTTGCCAATTAAACACATCACTGGTATGACCAAGAGGAAGGGTGGAAGTTTCCTTCCTTTTGCCTGAGCTAAGAGAGTTCCCATGGACGCTTGTGTCGCTATAACCCTAGCAGCCTGGGGAATGTAGCTTCTCCTGGGAAAGGGAGGGAGGTGAAGGAGGAGATGGGAGAGAAGAGGAGGGAAGGAAGTGGACCCAGGGGAGGGGAGACAGGTGTGGTCCAGTGCCCTATGTTCCCCTATGGTCCCTAGGCTTTCACACGGGCAGCCCTGGCGGAAGGATGCCCACCAGCACCCTTTGTGATTGGACTCCACCAGGTGTGGTGAAAAGAGACAAAGAGCCCACCTGTCTGGGACCTTGTCCAAAGGAGTTAGCTGATGACACATAGTGTACACAGGACCACACTGTGTCCACAGCCCTGACCATCTAGGTTGAGGTGCACAATGCTGTTCTTCCAGCCTTCTAGCATGCTTCCCTAGTGGATCTTGGGAGAGAGTTGGGCTTGGGGAGGACTACAGGGATCTGAGGAAGCTTGGGCAGAACTTGGAACTTAGGTGATTACACTCAGTGACCCTAGAAGCATGTAAGTGGGTGGTCTCCTGTAGCCTCCACTAAGTGGGGATGTTGGGTAGGAAGTGGGGAGATTGTGTGGGCGGAGGTGTGGGGAGGGGTTCTGCTTCTGGCTCATTCTCCTGTGATTCCCGGATCTCCACACCAGTGACCACTGCCCTTGGGATTGACCATGGGTGTGCCTATCTCGATACGACATGGAGAAGCACTTGGTTTGAACGCGTTGCTTTCTGATATGGCTGCTGGCTTCTCTCTTTGCTTTGGGAAGGGAGGGAGGAATAGAAATATTGAGAAAAACAGGGCCGAATGTGCCACTGGTTGCTTGTATAGTTCTTTTCATTCAATATAGGAATACCTACATATGGAGCACCTATGGGCTGGGCACTGGGGATGCAGAGGGATTAAGACACACACCTGTCCTCGGGGAGCATAAGAGTCTAGTTGAAGTAGGCTGACGTATAAAGATCACAAAATGTCCCATAGGTGGTGACAGAAATGATTTTCAAGAAGGTATACAGCACACAGAGTTGCCATGAGTAGGAACTGACTTGATGACAGCTGGTTTGGTATTAGATTTTGGTTGTAGATTTGGTATTAGATTTTGGTTTATAGATTTGGTATTAGATTTTGGTTTATAGATTTGGGATTTAGATTTTGGTGCAGTGGTCAGTTCTACGTAGGATAGGGGGAATCAGAACAAGTTTCGTAAGAAAGTTTGCAGGTATAAAAATCAGTAGTTTGGGGTACAAAAATGAGTCATTTTTTACTAGGAGGATGGATGGTGAGGAACATTTTAGTTAAATGTGAAACTTGGGCATATGAACTGGCATGGTGGGTGAGGGAACTCACAAGAGGCTAGGACAGCTGACCCAGAGTGGTAGGAGATAGGATAGGGATTTGTGGGTAGATAGGCTAGCAGGTAAACAAGGTCCAGACTTGGAGGATTTCAGAAGGCCTGATAAGGAGTTAGATGCTTTCTGTGTTCTATGGGAAGTGATTTGACATTTCAAAATCAGGTATGAGTAAAAAGAGTTGGTTTACATGCTACGAAGACTAGCCTACAAACCGACTAGAGGGCATTGGCAGTTCTCAGCCCTGTGGCCGGTTTATAAGTATTGGCATCAAGGCCTTACCCTGAGTCTCTGACTTACTTGGTGCCTTAGTTTTCTGAGGCTGCTGTAACTCACATAATCCAGGGCCGTGGTTTTATGGGACACGCTGTGTTTTCTCACATGTTTAGAGGCTGCAAGTCCAGATCAGGGTCTTGATCATGTCAGTTTCCTCCTGGTTGGTAGCTTGGGATAGTCCTTGGTTCCTTGGCTTGTAGATTCACCTTCACTTGGCGTTTGTCTTTCTGTCTCTTTCTGTGTGTGTGTGTGTGTGTGTATGTATGTGTACCTGCGTCTGTGCTTGTCCTTTTATAACTCAGACATGATTAGGTTCAGGACCCTCCCTACATTGGTACACCCTTAACTGATTGATTGCACTGCATTGGATTGCTTTATGATAGTGGAACACAGTACATTAGATCCGATTAGACCATAGATATAGAAGTTCTGATGCCAACATATTATTTTTTTTTTTGGTGTGGAAGAGGGGGACAGACACAATTTAATCCATAACACTTAGCCTAGAGTGGGTCCCAAGCAGGAATCTTTGAAACTTCCAGATGATTTGAATGTGCATCCAAGATGAAAGTCTCTAGGGACATTGGTCAATATCTAGGGACAGTTTTGGTTGTCACAACTGGGCAGGAGGTACTACTGGCATCTAGTGGGTAGAGACCAGAGATGTTGCTGAGCACCGTACAATAACAGGACAGCCTCTCACCACCACAACAAAACCATGAGGTTTTGAACCTCTGGCCTAGAGGACATCTGGAGGCTGGAGACAGATGCCAACTGAGAAGCAGATCCCACAGAGGCAGTGACTGAGAGGCATACAGGAAGGAGGTTGGATGGCCAGCCACTGAGGCAGGATTTCATGTACAGGCAAGAGGCAGAAGTAAAGGCAACAGAAGTTGGCCACTGTGTGTCCAGGACATCTGGATGCTCCTTGGGGTTTTGTCTGGCGTGGGAAGAGCGGGTTTTGGAAAGAGATCACTAAGCTC